AATAAATCATGGTCTTTACAGATAATTAACGACGGTTTTTATAAACCAACCGTTGGCTTTACAGATAATTAACGATGGTTTTTATAAAAAGGGTCGTCTATTATATGTAAAGATGACGGTTTTATTTTTAAAAAAAGGGTCATCTATTGTGAAGTAAATATGATGGTTTTTTTTAAAAAAGGTCGTCTATTATATGTAAAGATGACACTGTCATCTTAACCTACAATACACGACGGTTTTCATAAAAAACCGTCATCTTAACCTACAATACACAACGGTTTTTAATAAAACCGTCGTCTTTCCTCCTATAATTAACGATCTTTACCTCTAAACAACGACGATTTTCTTTAAAAATCGTCGGCGGTTTTTTTAAAAAAGGGTCGTCTATTATATGTAAAGACGATGGTTTTTTTAAAAAAGCGTCGTCTTTTAAAACACGCTAAAAAAAGGCCGCTTAAGTGAATTCGCGCTCGACAAATTTTCAAATTTCCCCCCGTCTCTGAAATCATGTGTGTCAACTCCAAAAGTCCTTGTATGGACTCAAACAGGCTCCCAGGGCATGGTTTGATAAATTGTTTCAAGCTCTCAAGTCTCTTGGTTTCGCTCAATCATCATCTGACGCATCCCTCTTTGTTCTCAAGGTTCCAGTTCTTGTTATTGTCCTTGTATATGTGGATGACATATTGGTCAGTGGTCCAGATTCATCAGTGTGCAATCTATTCATCACGAAACTGAGTTCTTTGTTTCATGTAAAGGACTTAGGTCCCTTACATTATTTCTTAGGTCTTGAAGTTCAACGAACCAAAGAGGGACTCTTTCTATATCAGGGTAAATATCTGATGGACTTGTTACAAAAGACAAAAATGGAGGGTCCTAAGCATTGTTCTACACCTCTTGGAAGTGCCAAACTGGATCACAGTGGTACACCTTTGGTAAACCCCACAGAGTATTGATCCATTGTGGGAGGCCTCCAGTATTTAACTTGGACTCGGCCTGATATCTCATTTGCAGTTAATCAAGTATGCCAATTCATGCATACTCCAATTGATTCACATATGCAGGCAGCCAAGCGAATACTCAGATTTCTCAGAGGTATATCTTCACATGGTATCTGGTTTCATAAAGGTCCTCTCACTCTATTAGCCTACTGTAATGCAGACTGGGCTGGCTGCACTTTTGATAGGAGATTCACGAGTGGATTTTGTGTGTTTCTTGGCTCAAACTTAGTAAGCTGGAGCGCTAAAAAGCAGCCTACAGTAGCTCGTTCTTCTACTAAGGCTGAATATCAATCCCTGGCTCACACTGCAACTGAAGTTACATGGATCTGTAAAGTTTTTAGAGATTTTGGTTTCTCCTCCTTTGTTAAACCTACCATTGGTTTGATAACATTTCTGCCATCTCCCTTGCATCAAACCCTGTTTTTCATGCCAGAACCAAACATGTGGAAATTGATTACCACTATATAAGGGAGCTAGTTCTTGCAAATCTAGTTAAAGTTCAGTATGTTTGTAGCCAAGACCAGATAGCTGATATTCACCACTAAATCTTTGTCTAAGAATCGGTTTCTCTTTCTTCAATCCAAGCTTTCCCTTGGAACTCCTAGTCTTTCCAAGCTCAGCTTGAGGGGGTGTAAAGATAACGATGCCAAGTCATGACAACTCATTTAGTTTAGGCAGCCAATTATTCTTGTTACACATGTATAGTTTTGGTTAAGTTGTTATGTTTGTTATAGGTTGTTAGAGAAAGTTTTGTACATAGCTTTGGCTATATATATACCTCAAATGTAAGTGTAATTAATCAGGTTAGTAAATGAGAAGAGGTTATTCAGTAAAACCATTCTTCTGTTTTCCTTTGGTTTCTTCACCTTTCTTTAGTTCTACTGTATACTCAAACTATCACACTACTCATATGGATGAACTAAGCCATGTAAATGCCATCCTAAATAGACAAGGAAAATCCAAGATCCATTCACCGTTACGATTCTCTCAATTCCCAAACCACTCTCAAGATCCACACCCCCTCGAATTATGAATCCGATGTTTTTCGAACTCTTCTTGTCAACATTCAGAAATTTCAACTCGACCCATGTCTCGTAGTTCATCTCTTTTCAATCTAATCCCAACTTTTCAGAAACTTAACTGCAATTTCGGAAAAGTTGTTGTGAACAGTTCCAACTAATTCAACTTCCCTGCAATTCAAGAAAATTGCCATAAACAATAAACTCCAAGGACCTCTTCAGATCCTTGTACAAAATGCACATCTCGTATACACTGTTACCTTCGCAATAATTCTCATCCAGCAATACCTCAAGCTTAACATGTGCAAAATGCCAAGTAGTTCCCAACACTCCAAGCTCACTGATCAAGAAAATCAAAGCAATGCAAAACCTCAAAGGAACTTACAAGCCAATTACAACGTGCCAAGGAGATTTACGAACCCAATTCACATGCCATGAAAATTGCAACATGTCGACAAAGCAATCCAAACAATCATGAACTATCAAAATTATTCAAGTTCAAGTCATTTGGACACATGTCCAAACCCATGCCAACCCATGCCATGCAATATCAAGTTCATGCAATTCTGGTTTCTTGCAAGCAAACAAGCATGACATGCAAAATCCAACTCTATAAGCAACAAAGCAAGTAACCCAAGTAAAACATGCATTACCAAACACCAAGCAATTACATTTTGTTTCAACTGTAATCAAGCAAGCAAATTAAGTATCAAGAAAACTCATACTCTCTTATAAAAACTTCACTCAAAACTATGCTCTCACAATGATATTGCCAAAACCATTCTAATCTCTATGCCAAGAAAAAGATAAGAAATCAAAAAACGACTACGGCCAAGAAAGCAAGTATGGACACTTGATGCATATTACATGCTGCTAAAAGACTATTATGATGACGCCAATACTGGAAAAAACCAGCGATGCCATTGCCACTTATTTTGGGCTGAAAATTTATTATTCGAACCATTTCAATACTCTTTTATTGCCCCAATAATCAAGGGGGCTAATGTTGAGGCCCACATTGTCACGAGAAGCCCAATGATATTTAAAGTCCAATATAACATATAATGTTGGCCATGCATTAATCCAAGCTGTCTTTTGGGAATTAATTTAGTAAATAAATATAACTGTATTTTTATAAAAGTTCAAATAGTGTACATTCCATGCCAAGAAAATATCGAATAAATATGTGCAAGCTAATACATTTTCCTATGCTAAACCATTTTACACACTTAAGTGGGCCCAAGGCACATACATGCCCGGGGCTTGCTGAGTGGGTTGTGGTATGGATGGTTATAAGTGTTCATAAGACATGTTGAAGGATCAGACAATGGCAGTTTTGGGGCTGCTTAGGAGTACCAAAACTCAGCCTCATTTTCCTTAGCCTAATTACACAGGTAAGCAGAGAGAGAGAACTCCCAGCCTCTTCTCTAACATTAAACCACAACTACCAATCATATTAAAATCCATTACTATTCATTACTGTTCATCATTGTACACACAATCATTACTGCACACTCACGGATCCATTATTGTGAATTATTGTACATTAATGTACACTCTCACAATAACCAAAAGCCTATGCATCCCACCTTATAAATAGAGGAAGAAGGAACGCAGAAAAACACAACAAACCAAGGTAGAGGCAAGCTCACCCTCTACTGGAAAACACGCAGAAACAAGCCTTAGCCAAACCCAGAAACAAGCCTTAGCCATTCCAAACCCAGACACACAAAACCAAGCAGAGACAAGCTCATCCTCCAGCTCCCCCAAAAACCCAAGCCTTAACCATTCCAAACCCATGAACAAGTAGAGGCAAGCTCATCCACTAGCTACTAGAACCACCCAAAACCCAAGCCTTAACCTCTCCATGCTCATTTTCTTTCAGAATACCACTTCAAGCCTTAAACACCATCCAAATCCCTTGACAAAGCACATCAGCAACAACAAGAGAAAGCCCATCCTCTAGCTGTTAAGAAGTACCAGACTCAAGCAGCAACCTTTCCCAAAACACCACCCAATCAATACACTGCCATAGTCATCTATTTCTCAAGCAAATCACTCTATCTTTCTAAACTTATGGATTCTTAGCTCCCACACCACAATTCTCTCATGCCAAGCCTATACGTAATATCAATGCAGCTATCAAAGACATTCAAAGATCTCCAAAGAGCAGCCGAAGACATTTAATACCACTGATTTTAGACACAATAACCATCAAAACATTAGTTGGAAGAAGAACATAGTATTCCCTAGAACCTGCTTCTCCTTCAGGATACTTTGGGCCTAGTTCTTGATAACTTAGAAACGAAGACTTGAAGGCTATATTCACATCTTCCCAACTATCCAACCCTACTAAGCCTTCTCAACAAAAAGACACCCACACATTTTAAAATGAAAAACTATATAATAAAAAATTAAATTAAAAAACATAATTGGTACATGCTAAAGGGTCTGGTGTATGACATATTTACTCATTTGTAATCAGAATCAAAATAAGGAGTTAGATTCCGCTTACGTATTACTCATGTGTTGACTTCACATAAAGGAATGAAAATGCAAGTGGGGCCCACACAAAATCAGGAGTTCTAGGGTGAGTGGTGGTATTCTAATTTTTGAAGAACTAACCCATCAGAAATTCACCTTATTTACTCATTATATCATCACACACTTAACCCAATAAAAATTTGCATATAAATTAATTTATTTAGAATAAGGGCATTTTAGTAATCAAGCTAATTTCAATTTCAATTCCTTCTCCCCCAATTTCGAATTAGTAAGCATACCAATGAAATGAAGAAAATTTGTTTAATTCATTCAGATTCTAAAAGTTTTAATTGACCTAAAAAAAAAAATTGGACCGATGACATGACTATTTGTTTTGCCCTAGCCAAGGTTCATGAAAATATGATGTGTCCTTTTTTGGTCAAAAAGAATAATTTTTTTTGGTAGCCAAAAAGAATAATTTTGATAGTAAGGAGTTTCAGATTCCATTCTGTCGGTATCTCCTTCAGCTGTTCTTCTATTAATAACGACTTTCCACTTCCCTTTGACTCTGTCTCTCTCTCTCTCTCTCTCTCTCTCTCTATGGCCACCCTTTTCAGGCCGTTTTCACCTCCACCGGCAGCAAAAGCTAGTCAATTCAATTTCTCTGATTCATCAAACCCTCCATTTTCTTTTCTAAAAACCCATCACCCATCTTCAAGAAAATCTTTCTCCAAAATCCAAAGCAGCAAGTTTGGCAATTTCCTTGACTTGAAACCCGAGTCAAAACCCGAGTTCTTCGATTTCGACCTCACCAAATTCGACCCATCAAGCCGTTCTCGCTTGGATGTGATTATAATCGGCACAGGCCCTGCTGGGCTTCGTCTTGCAGAGCAGGTTTCAAGCTATGGCATTAAGGTATGTTGTGTTGATCCTTCACCCCTTTCTATGTGGCCAAATAACTATGGTGTCTGGGTCGATGAGTTTGAAAGCTTGAACCTTGAAAATTGCTTAGACAAAACATGGCCTATGGCTTGCGTTCATGTTGATGACAATAAGACCAAGTATTTGGACCGTCCTTATGGTAGAGTCAGTAGGAAGAAACTCAAGACTCTGTTATTGGAGAGATGTCTCTCCAGTGGGGTTCAATTTCACAGGGCCAAGGTGTGGAAAATTGAGCACCAAGAGTTTGAGTCTTCGATTTTGTGTGATGATGGGAATGAGCTCAAGGCAAGCTTGGTTGTTGATGCTAGTGGGTTTGCTAGCAGTTTCATAGAGTATGAGAAGCCAAGGAACCATGGGTATCAGATTGCTCATGGTATTTTGGCTGAAGTGGAAGAACACCCCTTTGATTTGGATAAGATGCTTCTGATGGATTGGAGAGATTCCCATCTTGGAAATGAACCTTATTTGCGTACTAGTAATTCTAAATTTCCGACGTTTCTCTACGCTATGCCATTTGATTCAAACTTGGTATTCTTAGAAGAAACTTCACTTGTTAGTAGGCCAGTGTTATCTTATATGGAGGTTAAGAAACGAATGGTTGCGAGGCTAAGGCATTTGGGAATCAGAGTGAAGAGGATAATTGAAGATGAGAAGTGTTTGATCCCAATGGGAGGCCCTCTTCCTCGGATCCCCCAAAGTGTGATGGCAATTGGAGGGACTTCTGGGGTCGTCCACCCTTCAACTGGGTACATGGTGGCTCGGACCATGGCTCTAGCCCCGATATTGGCTGAGGCCATTGCAGAGTGCCTTGGCTCAACCCGAATGATTAGAGGGCAGCCACTTTATCATAAAGCATGGAATGGCTTGTGGCCAATTGAAAGGAGATGTGTACGGGAGTTTTACTCTTTTGGTATGGAGACTTTGTTAAAGCTTGATCTGGATGGGAGCAGAAGGTTCTTTGATGCTTTCTTTGACTTGGATCCTTATTACTGGCATGGGTTTCTCTCCTCAAGGTTGTCTCTTAGAGAGCTTGCTTTGTTGAGTTTATCGCTGTTTGGCCGTGCCTCTTCCCCATCTAGGTTCGATATTGTTACGAAGTGTCCTTTGCCTTTGGTTAAACTGATGGGTAATCTAGCACTTGAAGCTGCATAATACTGTAACACTTGGAAACAATTGCTTTTTGTTTCATTCTGTAATGTTGTTCGTGTTGTTAGCTTGGACTATACACATTGGTCCATTCCTTATACAATATACTTTACCAGAATATTAGAGCTCTAGTTTCAAGTGCTCCTTGTTAAATGATTGGATTAGAACCTCTTCTCACATTACCTTAGTTTTCTGTTTACATCTCATATTCCCTTAGGTATCTGTTTCTGGTGTGTAAAACGTGACGGCACACAATGTTGTTAGCTTGGACTATACACATTGGTCCATTCCTTATACAGTATACTTTACCAGAATATTAGAGCTCTAGTTTCAAGTGCTCCTTGTTAAATGATTGGATTAGAACCTCATCTCACATTACCTTAGTTTTCTGTTTACATCTCATATTCCCTTAGGTATCTGTTTCTGGTGTGTAAAACGTGACGGCACACAAGGGAGTGCGTTTCTAGTACATCTACTAGTGGTCCTGAATCTGCTTAAGCTTCTAAAGTATAGCGGTACCGAAAAATTTAATGCAACAGCATTCTCCACGAAATAACTATTTGTATGTTTGCTTTCGCACCCCAATTGAGAAAATTTGACCTGCTACGTATTCATTGCCCCAAAAACTTGTTAAAATAGAAACACAACCATGGTTTCCGTTTAAGAGGAACTGAATATGAAGGAAACATTGCAGCAACACACAAACTTTGATGGTTTCAAAAACAAACCTTACTACTGGAGATGAAAGAGATTTACCATGGAATTTCAGTGGTTATGGAAGGGGGAGAAGGGGTGGGGGACCTGGAAATGGCTGATCAGTTGGTGTGAAAGCTTTTTCAAATACGTAGTTGACTTCGTGAGTGAGTTGATTTTATTTGGTGGTGGAGAAGTTGGAGTTTGAGTGGCCTCTGAGTTGGTGGACAATTTGAGAGGTCTTCTTGAGTTGGAGGAGATGGTGTGGGTGCTGGAACAACAAAACGAAGAACACAAATTATAGGCTATCATTCAAGAGAAGTGACCTTTAGAAAAGAAACAAACTCGAGCGTTTCACAAATCATGAAATCTCTGTGTCCAAATCAAACACTAGACAACTCAAAGACTTTTTGTTCTTCATCGAGTTCGAGAGAATCACCAACGCACGTGCCAATTCATCCACTAACAAAGTCAAAGATCACTAACCATGTGATGTGACACTACTCGTGGTCCCGTTTGATTCAAGATCAAAATGTTGATCATCCTTGAATCCAATTTTACTGTGGAGATCGAATTGTGTGCAGAACCTAATATGTTTTTCTTTATTAGGTTTTTGCTTATCTTTTTTCTGCTTAAAATACCTATATTTACGTACCTAGGAACATAATGAAAATACCTCCCTGCAAAAATTATATAAATAATTTTTTTTTTTGTTGGAACAAATAATGCGAAGACAAACATAGCCCCTCTGATGAAAATGAAATTTTGATGATGTCAATTAAGGGGCTAATTTGGCTGATTTTATTATTATTTATTTTTTCTAAAGGGGATGATTTTTAAAGGGGTACTTAAGAAAAATAGTGAACCTCAAACGTGTCGATGAAATATTGACATGTTACTTCAAACTCGAAGGAAGAACATCATATACCACCATCAAACATTGGGGTGGAATTGGGATCGAGTTGCTCACCAAGAGGTTTTGAGTTCGATTCCCACCAATAGGTTGGTGTGGGCATGCCAATTCCCTAGAGATGAAAGCGTGTAAGTGCGTGACATTATGAGGGTGGATTTGACCAGTTGCAAGTCATTTTTAACCTATTCTAATTTTTAATGTTTGGTCTACTACTATAATACAAAAGTTACAAAGAGTCATGCCCACACCATAAGATTCGATATTGCATTTTTTCTTCTTTTATAAAATCAAATTTTAATTTAATTTCTTAACATAATACCTAGGAACATAATGAAAATACCTCCCTGCAAAAATTATATAAATAATTTTTTTTTCGTTGGAACAAATAATGTAAACATAGCCCCTCTGATGAAAATGAAATGTTGATGATGTCAATTAAGGGGCTGATTTGGCTGAATTTTATTTTATTTTTTCTAACAGGGATGATTTTTAAAGGGATACTTAGAAAAATAGTGAAACTCAAATGTGTCAACGGAATATTGACATGTTACTTCAAACTCAAAGGAAGAACTTCATATACCACCATCAAACGTTGGGGTGGAATTGGGGTCAAGTTGCTCATCAAGAGGTTTTGAGTTCGATTCCCACCGATAGGTTGGGTGGGCATGCCAATTCCCTAGAGATGAAAGCGTGTAAGTGCGTGACATTATGAGGGTGGATTTGACCAGTTGCAAGTCATTTTTAACCTATTCTAATTTTTAATGTTTGGTCTACTACTATAATACAAAAGTTACAAAGAGTCATGCCCACACCATAAGATTCGATATTGCATTTTTTCTTCTTTTATAAAATCAAATTTTAATTTAATTTCTTAACATAATATCTAACAACATGCTCCCCCTCCCCCTTTTGACTGAGAGATGGGTTGTGCTGGTGGTGGGTGTTGGGAGGCTGGGTATTTTTTGGATTAGTTTTTTTTTAAAAAAATTTAAATAATAAAATAAGTTTTTATTATTATTTTGTCCATGTGGAAGTTTATGTAATTAAATAAACAATCACACTTTTGATACGCAAGCATTTAACAAATTCACTAACGATTTAAGTAATGGAGAGAAAAATTATAAATTTTTCGCAAGTTTTACAATTCCCAAAAATAAATATGAACTTGAAAATGGCGTCATTACACTGTAGTCATGTGGAAGTTCATGTCATTAAATAAACAATCACACTTTTAATACGTAAGCATTTAACAAATTCACTAACGATTTAAGTAATGGAGAGAGTAAACACCCAACACTTTCAAACATGACTGCACGCTATAAAGACTAAACACCCAACACTTTCACTATCTGGCGGCTATACCAAAAACAATGATTTTTTTTAATTTTATTTTTGTTGTTATTACACTGTAGTCTTTCAAACATGACTGCACGCTATAAGGACTAAACACCCAACACTTTCACTATCTGGCGGCTATACCAAAAACAATGATTTTTTTTAATTTTATTTTTGTTGTTATCGGTGGCCGTGGCCCTATACCAAATATAATGCAATTCATTTCAATAATTTCATTGATATTACTACGTGACGTCGTGATATTATAAGTATGAAATTTGGTCGACCAATTGCATGTGGAGTTTTGATAAATCTGGCCGCTGCCCACTCATATTTATTATTTAATTTGAGCAATGAGCAGAGCATCACATGGGACAAATTGGTTTTTTAATTTGAAGTATGGACATGTGGATAAGTTATCGCGATCAGCATTGAAGAAGGCTACTTGAGCAATCTTTGGGATAAATTTGCTTGAATAAGAGCCCAAAACAAAATAAAATAATAAAGGTTGTTCGTGCTACGTGACAAAATAATTCAATTAAAAAAGAGAGTATGTATTTAAGAAATAAAAGCTGAACGAACACATGTTATTTTTTAACTAAATTGTTTTACTAATCTGCGTTAGGAACTGTCTTATAAAAGTTTATCAAGATTGTTTTGTTATATGTACGTTTGCTCAGAAGTATCCCCAACAAACATTTCCTTATAAATAATAGTATTTTAGGATTCATTTCTACTGGTTCATCTCTCTAATAAACTCTCTAATGGGTACTCTTATGAGGCTGTTTTCACCACCACCAGCAACCCAGAGCTGCCAATTTTTACATTCATTCAATCCTCCATTTTCATTTCCAAGAACCTGTGGCACATCTTCAAGAAGTACTCCTTTCAAAGCCCAGAGCAGCGAATGTGGAAATTTTCTTGATTTAAAACCGGAGGCAAAACCTGAATTCTTAGATTTCGACATCCCCCAGTTCGACACATCTACTAGGTCTTCCTTAGACGTGATCATCATCGGCACTGGCCCTGCCGGGCTTCGCCTTGCAGAGCAAGTGTCACAGCATGGCATTAAGGTATGTTGTGTTGATCCTTCACCGCAATCTTTGTGGCCAAATACCTATAGTGTTTGGGTTGATGAGTTTGAGAGCTTGAAGCTTGAGAGTTGCTTAGAAAAAACTTGGCCTATGTCTTGCCTTTATATTGATGAAGACAATGTCAAGTATATAGACCGCCCTTTTGGTCGAATTAGCAGGAAGAAATTCAAGACTTTGCTAATGGAGAGGTGCCTCTCTAATGATGTCAAGTTTCATAAGGCCAAGGTTTTGAAAATTGAGCACCAAGAGTTTGAATCTTCGATATTCTGTGACGATGGCAATGAGCTCAAGGGAAGCCTAATTGTTGATGCTAGTGGGTTTGCAAGCACTTTCATGGAGTATGACAAACCAAGGAACCATGGCTATCAGACTGGCCATGGCATTTTGGCTGAAGTGGATTTTCACCCTTTTGACTTGGATAAGGTTGTTCAGTTGGATTGGAGAGACTCCCATCTCAGAAATGAGCCTTCTATGCTCACTAGAAATTCAAGATTTCCAACTTTTCTCTTTGCCATGCCAATTGATTCAAGCCTAATATATTTGATGGAAACTTCATTGGTTGGTAGGCCAGTGCTGTCTTATGAGGAGGTGAAGAAGAGAATGGTTGCAAGGCTAAGGCATTTGGGAATTAGAGTGAAGAGGGTTTTGGAGGCTGAGAAGTGTTTGATCCCAATGGGAGGCCCTCTTCCTCGGATGTCTCAAGAGGTGATGGCTATGGGAGGAACTTCCGGGCTTGTCAATCCTTCAGCCGGGTACATGGTGGCGTCGGCCATGGCTCTAGCCCCGGTGCTAGCCGAGGCCATTGTTCAGTGCCTCGGCTCGACCCGAATGATCAGAGGGCAGCCACTTTATGATAGAGTGTGGAAGGGGTTGTGGCCAATTGAGAGGAGATGTGTTAGGGAGTTTTACTCTTTTGGGATGGAGACTTTGTTGAAGCTTGATCTGAATGAGACTCGAAGGTTCTTTGATGCTTTCTTTGACTTGGATCCGTATTACTTGCACGGCTATCTTTCATCAAGGTTGTCCCCAACAGAGCTTGCCTTTTTCGGTTTATCTTTGTTTGGCCATGCCTCCGTTTCATCTAGAGTTGAACTTATTACAAAGTCTGCTGTACCCTTTGTTAAAATGATAGGTAATCTAGCACT